CCCCCAGGAGCCGCCAATCCCTCCGGGAATCCTTTGGGGACGACGTCGCTGCCGCCGAATTCACCTTGTCCTGTGGGGGAGGGGTCAGGTGAGCCCCTCCCCTTTTTGGGGTGCACCCCCCTAGTTGGGGGGGTTTGGGACCCTGACCCCCCCGACCCCGCAGGTTTTTGGGTTCATTTTTGGGGTCCCGACCCCGCAGGTTTTTGGGGGAGCAGCGCTGGATCCGCCCCGGGAGCCGCTCGGAGCTGTCCCGGCTCTGCCACCTGCCCCTGGTGGGCATCGACCTGAGCGGGACCTCGGTCACCTACGAGGGGCTGGACAACCTGGGTGAGCCCCAAAAACATCCCAAAAACACCCCAAATACCCAAAAATACCCCAAAACAGGCAAAAAATACTGCAAAATACCCCCAAAACACCCCAAAGGTCACCTACGAGGGGCTGGACAACCTGGGTGAGCCCCAAAACACCCCAAAATATCCTAAAATATCCCAAAATATCCCAAAATATCCTAAAAACACCCCCAAATATCCCAAAATACCCCAAAGGTCACCTACGAGGGGCTGGACAACCTGGGTGAGACCCAAAAAACATCCCAAATACCCCAAAAACACCCCAAACCAGCCTAAAAACAGTGTCCCTGTCACACCTGTCACACCTGTCCCTGTCACTGTCACACCTGTCCCTGTCTCACAGTGTCCCTTGTCATTGTCCCCGCAGTGTCCCTGTCCCTGTCCCCACAGTGTCCCTGTCACCCCTGGGGTCACACCTGTCCCTGTCCCTGTCCCCGCAGTGTCCCTGTCACTGTCACACCTGTCACACCTGTCATTGTCCCCGCAGTGTCCCTGTCACACCTGTCCCTGTCTCACAGTGTCCCTGTCCCTGTCCCCGCAGTGTCCCTGTCACACCTGTCCCACCTGGATCTCTCAGATTGTCCCCACGTCTCCGATTGGGCCCTGGGGCGGCTCCACGGCCTCGGGGCCACCCTGCAGCACCTGGGGCTGGCCCGGTGTCCCCAGGTCACCGAGAGGGGCCTGGCCACGCTGCACCACCTCAGGTGAGACACCTGTGTCACCCGGTGTCACCCAGTGTCACCTCAGTGTCACCCCAGTGTCACCCAATGTCACCCCAATGTCACCTGGGACCCCTCAGAGTCACCTGGGACTCCCCAGTGCCACCCCAGAAACACCTGGGACCCTCTGATGTCACCCCAGTGTCACCCAGTGTCATCCAGTGTCACCCCAGTGTCACCTGGGACCCTCCCCAATGTGACCCCTGTGTCACCCGGTGTCACCCCAATGTCATCTGTCACCCCCAGTGTCACCCGGTGTCACCCCAGCGTCATCCAGTGTCATCCAGTGTCACCCAGTGTCACCTGGGACCCCTCAGAGTCACCTGGGACTCCCCAGTGCCACCCCAGAGTCACCTGGGACCCTCTGATGTCACCCCAGTGTCACCTCAGTGTCCTCCAGTGTCCCAAATGTCCCCCCAATCCCCTCCCAGTCCCTCCCAGTCCCTCCCAGTCCATCCCAGTTGCGTTTCCCGCAGGTCTCTGCGCTCTCTGGACCTGTCGGGGCTCTCCCTGCCCAGTCCGGCGCTGCTGCGGCCGCTGCTCCAGGAGATGCTCCCGAGCTGCCAAATCCTGGGAATGGCCGAGCCCGGGACCCCCCCGGGACCCCCCCAATAAAAATCGCTGATTTTTCCACCCATTCGGGGTTTTTCTGGAGGGTCCCGACATTCCCAGACCTTTCCCCCAAATCCTGGGGGTTCCCCATCCTCGGATCCTGCAGATCCTTGCCTGAAAAAATCCTGGAGGTTTCTCCCCAAAAAATCCTGGAGGTTTCTCCCCAAAATCCTGGGCGCTCCCAGCCCCAAAGTTCTGGGAATTCCTCCCCAAAAATCTTGGGGATTCCTCCCCAGAAATCCCAGGGTTTTCTTGCTCTTAAATCCCAGCAATTTCCCTCCCTAAAGCCCTGAGCTTCCCATCACAAAACTTCTCCCCAAAATCCCAGGATTTCTCCCCAAAATCCTGGGGGTTCTTCCCCAAAATCCCAGAGAATCCCTCCCAAAAATCCTCAGGCTCTTCCTGTCCAAAACGCTGTTTAATTTTGGGGGCGTTCGAGGTGAATTTGGGGGGAAATCGTGGAATTTTGGGGCATCGCTTCTGGAGGTGCCGGAGCCAGGAAATCGCTGCAGATTTGGGGCATTTTTGTGTAAATTCGGGAGTGCTCAGGGAATTCCTGGGAATTCCGGGATCGGGAATTCGCTCCCCGGGGGTCTCCAGGTGGATTTGGGGTGAAATCGGAGCAAATTTTGGGAGGGTTTTGGGATATTCCGATGGGTTTGAGGATCCCGGCGGT